CCGTTTTCAGGTCCAGGGAATAAAGTACATCATCACTCATCTTCACTGTGATAAGGTGGATACAGCAGTGTTTAGTGTGAATTGTCCCAGCTTTATCGCTCTTTTTCTGTGGGGAACTCTTCTCTTTAACTTCTCTTATACTCAAAAAGAATTCTGCTACAGAGAAAAAAAATCTGAATCGTCTTTAGCGTAATGATGGCTAAGTGGCATGCCCACTACCATCCAGCTTAGGTTTGCTTTAAATGACAGAATTGCAGACAGTTTCAGCTCTTTCAAACCAGAGTGCTTGCACTGGATTTTGTCATCACCCTGTGGTCTCATTCTGCATTTTCGTGTGCTTAGTATGCTTAGTTTTGGGACATACAGCTTGTCTAATCATAAAACCAACAGAGTAAGAATAGTTTATTTAATACTTCTCCTCTGTTCAGGTTGTAATCAATCCAAACTATGAAGTGGCTGAGAGCGACTTCACCAACAACGCCATGAAGTGCAACTGCAAGTACGACGGACATCGGATCTGGTTCCACAACTGCCACATTGGTAAGCAGTGGAAAGCAGTAAGACTACCAGATAATGATAATAAAATGTACTCTTATTGGCATCTCTGACCACCTTTACTGACTATTTGATCTCCCTGCAGGGGATGCATTGAGCGAGGAGGCAGAGAGGAGATTTGAGAAATATCCCGGACAGCTGAATAACAAGATTTCTTAATCGCCAAGAACTTCCCGGCAACTTAGAAACCAAAGCGGGAATAAAGATACACCTCACTAACTCAGAAAGAAAGACACAAACCTTTTGTCTTCAGGTGCTAAAACGGATCCCCGCCACATATCTCTAGATTTGTAGTCACTGAAGCAGCGAGCGTGTGCTCTACGTGTGAATTATTTTACTTGAATATTCAAGTGGTAATTTTTTTCGTGTAGTCTGAGGTGAGTGCGTGCTATATTTTTACTGCAAATTAAAATTTTATAAAGTCAGTGAGACAGTCTCCTGTGTATGATCGACCTTTTATATTCTGTTCCTTTTTATGAGTTATGACTGGGTTTTTTACTTTTTTTTAATCACCATAAAGAGAAAAGCTTCAATGTTTTGCAGATATATATATATACAGAGATGCTTTTAAACAGCTTGTTTAAGTAATAACATCTGCCTTTGTGTTTACAGTATTTTGTGAATGTATTTATTGCCAACATGGAGGTACTAAAGAATCATTCTGGGTCAACAGCAGTATTTGGACCAGTTTGAAGCCATCGTTAGCTTTAGTGCACACACGTACTTTAATAATCTTTGAGAGATTAATGGGCAAAGGCCAAAGAAAGCTACAGTTACAGTTAGATTTGTTGTATTTACTCTGATGTAATCACACCTGCTGCACCAAATAAAACAGAGAAAAACCTCCTGAGACTCGTTTGACCGGGAATGATTCACTGCAACAATACTGAAGCTGTAAAGCAGCTGTTTTCAGTGCCTGTAAACACAGTCTGCTACAGATATACCAGCCACACCGGTGGAAAAAAAGCAGCATACTTTGGTGTTACAAAAAAACCGACCAGCTGGTATTGTATCACGCTGGTATTTTACTTTTCCCGCAATTATTTTGTGGTCATGTGGACCACTGCTCCAACGGTATGCTCCAACAGAACAATAGCACTTTTGTTTTGGTTCCTCGCACTGAGCCGGCAGCTGACTGCACAAATCCAACAATGACCTACTGCAGCAGTAAAGAGTCAGATTATGGTGAAAGATCATTTTGATTTAAAGTATGATAGATATATGAGTTCTTCAAAAGATGATCTATTAACCTAAGCCTATTTTATAAAGACAGACAGGAATCCCCCAACCCATCTGGCAGATAAACAAAGAGGTCTGCAGGGCTGATTGCTCAGTTAAATTAAAAGAAAATCGGGTGGGCTGACTAAGACAGAGCTCTCAAACCAGTTGTCAGCTGTGTGCTTCTAAGCCCAGAGTTCAAATCAATCCACTGTTAATCTCAGTCTTCCCTGCCCGCGGTGAACAATCCTGTTAACCTCCCTTACTAATCACATCAACCGTGTGCGCGACATTGCAGCAGCTCAGCAGCAGAGCTGGTATGCACCTGTTTGTAAGAAGTCTGAATGTGATTATTTAATCACTTAATTGTGTCTATAGTGTAAGAAAACACACAGAAAAGGCCATCGCAGCTTCCTAACACTTTGAAATGGCTTATTAACAGAAATGTTTAATGTACACTGATACATAATATATGAAACAGAAATGTACGGGATCCACTGAAGAATGTGGAACCATAGAAAGTTTCTGCTTATATATTAGAACAGGTTAATATGTATGATATCATGGAAACGTGGTTTAAAAATGAAGCTATTTGGGAATAACAGGATAAATGCAGAATTTCCTAATCATTTTGTGCGCTCTATCAATGCAGCATGAGGACCAAAAATGAAAAGAAATAACAAGGAAAATCCTCCAGGTTTACTAAACAATAAAGGAACTTTCTGTGTTTTATGTAATGTTATTGGTGGCCTTTTCTTGCTTCAGCTGCTGCTGGCTGCTTGGGTTTCTCTTGAGGTTTTTGCCTGTCATCATCATCTCATCAGCCTGCACACCTGGCCTAACAGAAGAGGATTACGCCGCTTCAGCAGAGCGGTGTCATACACATAAGCTGGCTAATGTTCTACTGAGTAATCAGACAGGCCCATGCAGAGAGATGGGCGCCACCCAGAGGGCTGCAGCTAAAAGTGCATCCACTCCAAGTGGATGCCTAAATCTCGTTCCCCCCCCTAAGGTTTACTAGGGTAGCTCTACATGATTCACAGTTCAAACTAATCCTTATTGGAGCAGCCCCTCGGTCTGTCGTCTATCTGAAACAAGCCATACTAGCTCATTTCTCTCTTTAAGGGTAAACAGCAAGTAGGTGAGGCTGCTGTGTTTGAGAAGATCATATTTAGGATATGGACTCTCACTGACATCACACGGAGCCAAAAGCAGGAAAAAGGAAGCTGAAAAGCTGAAAGTGAGCCTTTAAAAAGCAGCCTGAAGCCTGAGCGTCACTGGGGATACTTTTACACACCTCCCCATCTGAAAATTTGTTCAGATTTAACATTTAGAGGTGGGACTCGCCAGATACCCCACGATATGATATTATTGCAAATTTCAACATTTTGCAATATGCTGAGTATTCCAATAAAATATGATTTATCACCTTATTTCAAATTTAAATTATGTCCTCAGTAAAATTTAGTCAGAATCTGTTTTATCCAGTGACATAACGTTATCTCACTTCAGTTTTGGGGGGGTTTATTTTGGATGGCAAATAAGATTGTCACCAAAACTGCCATAAATGTTGTTGTAAGATGGAATCAGGCTTCTACTGGCAAACAATTTGGCAATTACATGCAATCTGTTTGTGATAGTAAAGCAAATAACTGTGAAAAATCATTGAAAATCCAACATTTTTGATGTCTGCATAGACAGAAATTCACATGTAACGATTACTTTTCCACTCAGCAACCTTCCTCTTGTATAGGAACATAACCAGAATACAATCAGCTGGTAGCCAGTTGAGTCGAAACCCCTGGAGTTGCTGTCACTGACAGAGGCTCAGTCGGATCGTGAACAAACATTTAGTCACCGCAAGCCACTAATGTATTCATTTATAGTTTGTGTAGCTACATGGAAGCTGCTGTCCTATTTTTACTTGTGCGACTGAGCTTTACTTTTGAGCCAATTTAATCTAAGTTCTCTCAGGTAACATTATCTCAGAATGGCGGTACATGGGATGAGACCTCTTGCTCAGTGTTACCAGAGGATGCATACGACTCAGCATGCAGAATGCACCATTGTTGAGTCGTGCTAATTATTTCACTGGACTATAATCCCTGACACACGTGTGCAGCCAGGAAGTGTAGAGCTAACATTGAACCTCAGATTGTACTTGCACAGATCGGGGTTTTGAACCTTTAGGGGGAGACCCGCCTAAGTTTTGTGCATATTGAAATCAGATTAAATTTCATGTGCAATCAAGGTAAGGAAATGCATTTTAATACCATGGTTCAACATAAAGACCAGTTATCATCATGAAGTCAATATAAACAGATCCTGACCATGTAGATGTGTAATGGTCCTTAGCCTCCAAAATGAAGCAGAAAAATTAAGTCCCGTTTTTCAGCAGCCGTTTCAATACTGTTTACATTAACTTACCCTAAAACTCATGACAAATGCCAGCAATGATTACATGTTGTGGTGACGCATGACTTAAATAAGGGACCATATAAAGTAGACACATGGGAAAAATAAAGGCTGTGTGACCTTGAGGTGAAACTACTAGGTCCAGGTGTAAGCGGATGATGCCACGCTGGAAATGTTTTTTAAAAGAAGATTTTTTTTTCCAGCTTAAAGGTGTTGAAATGCTCCTCCAGAGGGAGTTGGATCACTGAACTGCCGGATTAGTCCGGACCACAACAGAGTCATGTCTGTGCATCCAGTCGTTTCACTGCAGGACTGTCTGTTTGATGACTTTCCCTTCTTTGTTAACGGCAAAGTTGTAATTCTTTGGATTGTCCAGTGCCTCCTCGATTCGTTGATCCAAGTTCTCCATGGTGATGAAGTTCTTTACTTCCTCCTGAAAGAAAATGAAAGTTTTGTCAGTTTATCACCATGTTCCCTTTGCTCTACTTGCATAGTTTGGATGCAGAAACAACCCCTACCTGCAGCTGCAAAATCTCCCTCTCTTTTTCTTTGATGAATTCTTGCTGTTCCTGTTCCCGCTGAATGGCAGCTTCAATCTTCTTGCGCTCAGCTTCCTCTGCTTCTTTCTGGACCCTCAGAATTCTGAAATGATTTCCCCCCCCAAAAAACATCACTTTTAGTGAGAAAGAAAGTGGGAGAAAGACACAAAGAGTGTATTCATGTCATCATCTTTTCTGCTCACCTGGCTTTCAGCATGCGCAGGTTCTCCTCGTTGTTCCAGCCCATCAGGGCTCGGTGCTCCTCCGCCTCCTGCCTCGCCCTCTCCTCCGCCTGGGAGCCCGTCTCCTCCTCGTACTTCTTTCGTAGCACCTCCTCCTTAAACTCCAAACTGACACACATAAAGAAAACTAAATACTCCAATCACACTGTCTTTACTCCAAATCTTAAAGTACACCAAGCATGTATCGTTTCATGTTTCTGAGACACTCTTAGTCACAGATTTGTGTAAGAGGTTCGAGAAATTGTTTAAAAAGTTGTGTTCGAGTTCAGCTTTTTTAAAGCAACACAGAATATCTTTAAGACTGACAGGGAGCTCACTAAGTTGGAGTGACTATTTGTCACGGGAAACTGATTTTGACATACTGTCATTTAAACGTACCGGAGCGCCCTCATGATCAGCTTGTATTCCGTGTATCTCTCTTTGAGAACTACCATCTCCACCGGATCGACGGGGGGAGGCACTTTAATTCGCCCTTCTTTGGACTTGGCTACCGGGTCGGTGCGAGACTTTCGGCCCCGGACAGCTTCCACGAGCACGGCGCTCCTGGGCGCTAAGAGCCGCGCCGCCTGCACGCTCCTCCCGCCGACTACCTGGAACATGTCAGCGTCTAAATGTGGTAACAGGTGCCGATTCCTAGATGCTAAATGTAACGCTTAATGAGAGCATTTGAGTTTGAAATCTGCGGTCTAGGTTAACATTAGGGCACAAATGTTATCGACCTAACACGGCAGCCATTTTGCTGCCCTCTGACCAGCGGAAGTGATTAGCAAAGAACGAGCTGCGCATGCTTGACTGCCTCCTGGAGGTTAGCAAAAGTTAGTTAGGTACAGAATAAGCTATCAATAGTTATCAAGATAACAAACTAGGTTAAACAGCTTAATACACGCTGTTTTCTAAATATATTAAATGTGAGACACAAGAGTAAAGCCATTTCTACGAAAAATATTTTATATTATTTTATTGATATCTGTCGGATTGACATTTTCAGTGGGATAATAATTTCACGTTTGTGGAGTATTTCAATTAAGAATTGTGAATAATTATAAATCAGAGGAGGTGTCAAATAGACAAAAAGAGCCCTCCAAAGGGTCCAGTCCGACCCGTGGATAGCTTTGTGGAAAATGTGGAACTTTCAGAGGAGGAGGCCATTTATGGTGAACCTTAAACTGTATTTTAAGTTTTTGGTTTTAGTGTTTTTACTGAAGAAGAGATAACTTATGACCTGTCATACACCAGAGTAAGTAGACTACTGGATAAAGGTTAATTACAAGAAAATTAGTTTTTCTGTTCGTGGTATTCATTTTAATAACAGAAACGTTCCTTCCTATTCACTATTTACAATAGAAATTCCTAGTTGTTAAAAAGTAATGGAATTGTTTCTGTGAATTCACAAATAATTGTCCTACATTTCTTTATTTCCTTTAAAGTGTAAGCCCAGCTGACATGTTTCTTTGATTTACTGCAGGAAGTATTATTGAAATTACACCTTTAAAAAAATCAGAGAGATTAAATGTGTAGTTAAGCTTCTTTACATTGAAAGAAACTAATTTTGATGTGTAGTTTGAAAGCTTTTTAGGCAATAGCTTCATTAGTTCAGCCCACTTAAGAGGAAATATAGCTGTATGTATACATTTGTTGTCTTCGTGATTCTTCTTCTTTCTTTCAAGGTTGAGCAGCTTGACGTCTGATGTCAGACCGGTGACTGATGATCCTGCTGAGGCAATATATCACCACATTACAGGTAGAGACGCCTTACCAGCAGCATGGAATGATGGGAAATGGTGCAGTGCCGCTGTGTGTCGGTCGGTGACATTGAGCGCTGCAAGTAAAAAGAAACTGTGTGGGAATGCAATCTAAAACAGCAAAATAGCACCATTGTTACTGTTATATGGGATTTTCAAGTAGGATATTTACAGCAGCCTTAAACACCAATAATAAACCAAACCTGGTCTCAGGTATCAAATGGTAGTTGCAATTATTTTATCATTCCTGCACATTTTATTTTCTAATTTTCCAGAATGTCTTTAATATTTGACAAAACCCCAAATATGATTGAATGAGACATTATTTTGGACACATTTGTGTTACTAAGGAATGATGTTGAGCTTTGTAAATTGGTGATTACATTTTTTTTAACTTTAGTATGTATTTTTGACATTAGAAGCTGTCATTCAACTGCTAACGCCTAACAGGTAAGTTTATTAACTTGCATCTGGAGCTAAAATTTGGCTGCATTGATGTCAGGGTGTGTGCTTTAGCTTTTTGTCTCCTAAACATCTTTAAAGGTGTGAAATGAAACCAAAAAATATGACACGTGCTGCAGGTGAGTTATATGTTTATTCAGCTTGTTGCCGGCTGTTACAGGTACACCAGTTACAGGTGCAGACTTTGTATTACTTTCACAGATGTAAAGCACCACATAGATCTACGATCAGCAGACAAACAACAAGGAGCTCCTGCAGTTATCTTTCGGCTTCACTGGTTAGCTGGGAATGAACTTACAGGACAAAAAAAAAATCTAGTGTAGTTAGACTCAAAGACACAGTACGTGATCATAAGGTGGAACCAGTAACAATTAGTCTTCTGCAGCATTTAAATGTCCAGATTGGTTTTTGCTGAAAAGTAGGAAGGCCCAAATTCACTCTGATTTGTTACTCACAGCTTTTGTGTAGACGTCAATGCAGAGGAAGACAAACTAAAAAGGACACAAATGAGTCGATAACATAATGAAAAGAAAATTTTAAGGTTACTGGTTCACTGACTACTAATACAACTACTACTACTACAAAACCAGGGATGCAGGACATTCATTGATTGGAAGAGTTCCTTGAGGAAAATCAGCTCAAACACATATAAAATCCAAGAACTGAGAGTTATAGGTTGGGTTTTTTATATCCTCATTAACAAACAATTGGTCAGGTGTTTGCACAACGAGAGTTCGGAAAGGCCAGATGGTTAACTCTACTGTTGTCTTGAATGTCATACGTGTCTGACTGAGAGGAACTCCACCAAAACAACGCTGCTGTCCAACGCAGACGTGTAACTAATGCAGTGCAGCCACTCTGCCCTTCGCAGTTTGCCTTCTACTTGATGTGTAGTGTCAGAATGTGTGTAGAAGAAGGGGGACTTCTGGTGGACCTCTTGTTTAGCACAAGGGCACAGCGGTCTTGAGAAAGGTGAGCTTTGATTTGTAGTTTGGGATTTTTTGGGTAAAGATGAAATAAATTTTGCGGGGAAAGCGAAGGGAAGAGCATGAAAGAGGGAAAGAGGTCATGTTAGGGAGGAATTCTCAGGATGTTCAGCTTAAAGATGAACGGGTAAGAAGATATACTCGATTTATGCCAGGGTCGGTGGCATTTAGGGTTTTAATTTAGAGCAGGAAGGGAAGGGTACGCCAGACGAATCTCCTCCCCCTCCAGGAGTTTCCTGTGAAAGTAAAGGAAAACAGATTGTTTGCTGTTTATGTCTTTATATATAGCTGAAGTAAGACAAATTAAGATAAAGTAAGAAAAAAGATCATGAAGCTTTACTGAAAACAAACACTGTTGGTGTAGATGAGCAGGAAGAAGGGTGTGTGTCACCTGTATGCTGCTATTTCAATGTCAAGGGCCATCTTCACATTGAGAAGATCTTGGTACTCTCTCAGGTAGCGCGCCATCTCCTGCTTAGCTTCAGCAATATTGCGCTCCAGCTCACTTATCCTCATCTGTAAAAGTAAAAAACCACTTCAGCTCAGTTTATGTGTCACAGTTAGCAACAGTCTGCTTCAAGCAGGGCAATGGTAAGCAAGAGTAGCTGCTTTGGTGTGCTCTCCCAGTTTGTTTCGACTTTAACTTTGCAGACGTTCACCTGCACTGTGAGCCTGTCATTATTTCCTGCTGTGCAGTAGAGCACGGGGAGGGTTCGCTGCTGCAGAGAATATATCTACATATCATCCTGTAGATGAAAGAAACTTTATTTCTTCTTGCTGCTTTCTGAGCTTCCTCTCATTTTAGCTGTACTGGTTAACCGTGTAAACACCACCTTTTAAGTTCTCTGCAGCACTATTTCAGAAGAAAGACTCTAAAAATAGCCAAAGGAAGAAGGCTGTAAGTCTGAAACTAAAATGCATATCGGAGCTCCATTCTCCCTATGCAGGCTCTAATTTCCCTGGTTCTTTGCCTCACCTGGTACTTTTCCACCTCCTTCGCCTGTGTTTCTTCCAGATCTTCCAGTTGCTTATTCAGGGATTCGATGACATTCCGGAGTGCCTCAATCTCCGAGGAGCGGGACTGGAGCAGTCTCCGGTACTCCATGGTCTCCTCCCGGATGGCGTGCACGGCCTCGTTGTTTTTGCTGGCCATCTCTGCCACGCTTGCAAACTTGCTCTGGTACCACTCCTCGGCGGCCTGCATGTTCTTGTGCGCCAGCCGCTCGTACTGAGCCCTGATGTCTCGCAGCGCGGTGGACAGATCAGGCCGGGACACCTCCATGTCTATGCTGATGTTGGCCACCTGCAGCTGGGCCTGCAGCTCTGCTTGCTCCTCTGCAAAGACTTTCTTCAGGAACACCATCTCATCGCACAGGGAGGCCACAGTGGCTTCTGCATCACAGTTGTAGACCACGGCCCTGCTCGCCTCCTCTTTGGCCCTCTGCAGGGCCTCCTCGGCATCCATGCGCCGCTGTGCCTCCTCCTCATAGCGCTCCTTCATCTGCTCATACACATCGCGCAGGTAGTCCTTCTCTGCCTCCATCCTCATCTTCTCCCCATTCTCTGAGTCAATCATGGCCCTCAGACTCCGTGCCTCACCTTCATAGAGCGCCTGCAGACGGGACGGATCGTTCTGCCGCCTCCTCAGCGCATCTAGTTCAGCCAGTAGGGCTCGGTTCTGCAGCTCGAGGTGCCTCACCTTCTCAATGTAGGTGGCAAATCGGTCATTCAGGTCCACAAGCTGTGCCCTCTCCTGGGAGCGCAGGCCCAGCAGCTCTGTGTTTAGAGAGCTGGCTTGAGCCAGGTTCATCCTCTGAGATCCATCTGGATAGGAAGAGGAGGAGGTCCTTAGGATCCTCTTACCAGATGGAGGAGCTCGTGAAGAAGGGTAGAGAGATGAAGACATGGAGGATTTGGTGGTGGTTCGGGAGCCTTTGTAGCTGTCCCAAGGGCGGCGGGTGGAGAAGAAGGAATCGTAGCTCATGATGAAGTTTTGTTGTGGATTTTTTTGTTTCTTTGAGAAAAGGAAATGTATGTTTCAGAAGGTTTTTTTTTTTTATGTCCCCCTTGTTCTGCACACCATCGGTGTGGATGAGTGAGCGCTTTTGCACTGCACCAGTTCAGTGATGCTGCAGATCCTGAGCTTTTATAGAGTCACGTTGCTCCCCCCCTCCAACACAGAGAAACATCAGCGCTGTCAGCATTCACCAGGCCAATAGCAGACTGCTGCAGTGAAGCGAGAGCAGCTTGGTTTGGAGATTCACTTTCAGCCACAGCAGGCAGTGAATGTGCAGTAGGGCAGATTTTTATTTAATGTGCTAATGTGCTTTAATCGATCATTGTTATCCCTCTATAAATTCCCAAAGGTGGTATTTGACTTTACTTTATACACTCAGCACAGGCTCAATTGCATTATCAAGCAGGGTACTTGATTAGATTAAATATAAAAGAAACCTGGGATAGAACATATGAAAATGACTTGAAACAAAGACTTCTCCCCAACCCAGTGAGAGAAAATCAATAGTACAGTAATAGAGAGAATAAGGGCATATACCATAAGGAACAGACAGGCATTTAAAGCATTTAATGCTCCAGGGAACAATATTTAATAATTACTACAGAGATTAATACATAGATGACATCAGATGGATTTGTGGTGGACGTGTACTACATTTAAAGATAATAATAATAGGAACTGAACACATGGTTCATTGTTGGTTTATTGCTTTTTGAGATATTTAACAAACAATTACTTATTCACGTTTCCTCTAGATTGTCGTCTTTCTTAACTGCCATCTGTGCTGTTGCTGTGAAAGATCTTTGGTAGACATACACCCTCCTACAATACCCTTATACTGCTTTTATTTCCAGAGTGTCTTTAGACATATCTGTTTGATCTAATTAGATTGCAAACTGATGAGTCAGGGATCTTCTTCAGCTGTCCTGACTCTGACAGTGCGTGTGGGAGACACCACTGAAGAAGAAAGTGCTACAGTATCTGTATGTGCTGACACACAGAAACCCTCCGGCTGTTTAACACTCAGAGATGAGTCAGAGTTTATGCCTAATCAGCCTTAGTATTTACTTAAAAAGAGGCATCAGGCTGATCTAGCGAATGGTTACAATTCCTGCTCACGTTTATTGGCCATTAAAGAAAACACTTTACTCTGTTTTTCACAGCAAATGTTTCTACAGATGTCAGCAAGGTCTGCAAAACATTTAAAAAAAGACAGCTCTGTTACAACTTTGAGAATCCATCCAGCGTCCTGGTAAAGGCAAGATACTCACAAAACATTTTGAGATTGAAGTGCCATACTTTATTGCTTATATTAAAGGGGTTTTTTTTATTAGGCGGAAAAACTCTTTTTTTTGTGCGTTTATGAGTATTTTAAACATCACATTTTAACTTGTGTTCAAGCCTTAAAAAACACTGATAAGCTACACGGTGCCACTAGGTGGCAGCATTCGGCCTTTAGACTGCATGGAAGTAACATTATTGGTAACGTTGTAGTTTACTGTAGTCCCCAATAGAGGCTATTGGATTGTTGTTTTACATTTTTCTGTGTGAAATGCATAAGTGTTATTATATTAGAGAGAAGCAAAATGTGTTAAATTTCTAAGTCTCTGCTGTGGTCAGTGCGTTAGCTCAATTCAAATTGATTTGTAAAAACAACATTATATATCAAAAATGTTACTGCCAATATCTTTCATAAAATATGTGACTGTTATTACAGAAATCTATAGACTTTTACTGCACAAGTTTTATTTAAGAGTTTCTGCCAAATACCTACCAGCTGTAATTCTTTGCAATGAAAATGCTCTCGGCTAAAAGGGTCTGTGAATAATCCTGAACAAAATATAGTCTTGATTTAGAAGAAAACATAAGGCTACAGAAATTTACCTTTAGGCTAAGTTGCAATACAAAAAGTGTATTCCTTTGGTAGAAAACATAGATCTCAAGGAAGGGAGAAAAAACATGTGCAGGACATAAAGAAGTAGCTCTTGCATCTCTTGCACGACCTGACACACTTCTTACATCCATGGGGCCAATGGGCTGTGGGACTAAACATTCACCTCAGACTTTTACTGCACAAGTTTTATTTAAGAGTTTCTGCCAAATACCTACCAGCTGTAATTCTTTGCAATGAAAATGCTCTCGGCTAAAAGGGTCTGTGAATAATCCTGAACAAAATATAGTCTTGATTTAGAAGAAAACATAAGGCTTTAAAATGTAAACCATTTAATAACAGACTCCTTATGCTGCTTTTGTTTCTGTGTCCTGTCATGTCTCACTGAGATGTTTGAACACAGCCATTAATGATATTATATAATTCAGTTGTCACAACAACAGTCGCCTCTAGGTGTTTTTGTAAGGTAAAGACTTAGAAAGAAGAAAACATAATAATCAAACACCCAATGAGCAAGCACTTGGCAACAGTGGGAAGGAAAATCTCTTATTTAACAGGAAGACACCTCAAGCAGAACCAGGCTCAGGGACGTCCAACCATCTGCCGTGACCAGTGGAGCGTGAAGTGATATTATCTGCTTCCTCAACCATGACCCCCTGAAAGATTTTTTGGGAAATCTTTCATGGTTCAGGTGTGGAAGGGTGAATTCCATATTTAAAGTTGTCACTTAAGCAATAAAGACCAGTCCTAGAGTGCATTCCTCCACACCACACATGAACTTAGATTCAGCCCTTAGATTCAGTAGGATATCTGGATCCAGATGAGCTGGGAATATTTTCTTGAGAACATCAAGACAACATCTTTCAGTTTTGTTTTGTTTTTTTAATTGTATGTATTTGTGACAATATTACATGTACATATAAGATAAGATATAATTTTACCTCATAAATAATAATAAATAATAATAAATCCCTTAAAAAATTCCTGGATCAAAACTCAGATTGAAACTCCGATTTTATTTTATCTTATTATATTTTATTTTTTACAAATTCTATGAATAAAAAGATGCTTAGGCAGAAAACTGAGCCGGTCACATGACCTACTTGGCGGATGTGAAAAACAATAACATACTCATCTGAATGAAGATTTTAGGGGGTTTCTGTAATAAGATCAGCGCTTAAAAAATGTTATCAACCAGAGCGGACTTTAAAAGATACACATAGACCATAAATGTAAAAAATAAAAAGAGAAAGAATGACTTAAAGTTTTGTCTAAAGATTTAAAAACGTTTTCAGTGATATCTGCATTCAAGCGTTCAAGGCTTTGAGCACTAGGTGGCGCAGTTGCACTGCATGCCAGTGTGGCAGCTGTAGATGGTTCCAGATGAAATAGTTTTGTGAATAAATGTATTTCCCCACTTACCTTTGACAGCATACGCTCAACTTAAGATGCTGTCATCACCTGCTGCAGGCTCTGCCTACAGCTACCATAATCACGATCGTGTCAGCGAGTCTCGTACAGTCAAAGAAATCTGCAAATTCCATGTTTATTCAGAGGTCATTTACAGCGAATATATTTCCCAGTGGTACATAAGGTAAAAATAAGTACATAAAACATTTTAGTTGACAGATAGACTTTGGAATGTCAGGCTTTTCATTGCTAAAATCGTTTGTACGTTTACAAGAATTGCAGGTGCACATTTCCACGTTTAAAAAACAAAACAAAAACAAGTCAGTGTGTGTACTTGAACTATATGACAGAAATGAAAGTCAGATCTCACCTCCAGTGGTTTACATTCACTTGAAATGTGTAAGATACCTATTTACACGAAATCACATAAAGAATATCAGACATGAGCGACGTATAAACTACAGAAAGTTACCTTTAGGCTAAGTTGCAATACAAAAAGTGTATTCCTTTGGTAGAAAACATAGATCTCAAGGAAGGGAGAAAAAACATGTGCAGGACATAAAGAAGTAGATCTTGCATCTCTTGCACGACCTGACACACTTCTTACATCCATGGGGCCAATGGGCTGTGGGACTAAACATTCACCTCATATCAGGAGTGCTGCATATTCATTTATGTTGGCAAGAGCAGCCCGCTGACATACTCTGGGCTGTTTGCACTGGCACTGCGTTACTTGAAACACAGCAACTTCTGATTATAGCATGAAGGCGATCATTCACAGGTCGATCTGTACAGTACTTTGGTTCGTTTTTTTAATCACCAAGTCTTTAAAGAGTGCTGGGGGTTATATTACGCGCAGTGCGTCCAAGTGTAAACTATGTGCCCACAGTTACAGTATAGACAGAAACATTGGAAATGAAGCTGTTACATGTACAAAACGAAAAAAAAAAAAAAAAAGAATAGAAATCTTATTTCTTCAGATCGTTTCTTTCTTTTTCCAGACTTGTCTTGTGCGTCAAATGGAGCGATTTTACTGCCATAGACATTAGTAATTTCAGACAGTGCCACTCAAACGTCATTAACTTCATCTGCTGGCTCAGAAGATTTTCAGCCGTTTGCCAATCGCTCTGCCCCCCTTTGCCACTCTCTGGCTCGGCTGGTCTTTAGAAAGCGGGCAGTACTTGATGGTGTGCGCATTGTCACCGTTGGCACTGCAGAGGGGGCAGGTGTACGCCCGGAGGATGGGGCAAAGCACTCTGCCGTCCACTGTCTTCAGGATATGGGTCCCGTAAACTTCCTCTGGTGCGCCGTTATTCCGACAGAAGACGCACACTTTGGGCTCCGGTTTGCCCCTCTGAGCCTGTTTGCGTCTTCGGTCCATGGCGAGCAGGTCGAAGCCAGAGAAGCTTCCCTTGTACGAGGGGGAATCTCTGTCCCCCAGCTGCGAATCACTAGCGAGGTGTTCGTATGGCCTGAGAAGCGAGATGCGCTCTTTGAGATCATAGATGGAGATCGGCGGGGAGCTCGGGGCCGCGCAGTAGCAGTCCAAGGGTCCGTCGTTGGTGTCCCTGCCGTGCCCAATTACGCAGGAGCAAACCGGGGAATCGTCCTCCAGTCCCAAAGTCGCTTTAAGAGACTCGGTTATAGAGTTAGGGCTGAAGGACGGACTGTTGATCTTATTTTTGGCGACAAGTGTCGACAGCCCGAGGTAGTCGTTCCAAAAATTAAAGGTGTAATCATAAGGAGACCGCGCGTCCAGGTAACCGCGGTCTAAGAAATCCATCCTGTCAGAGCCGCACAGTTTAACGTCCACACTAGTGAATAGGCGTTTTGGATTGGATGGCTGTCAGCATGAGGATCCAGTGGAGGGTTCCTCTCTCTGCTCCTGCTGGGTCTACTTTGCAGAACATTGAGCATGCAGGCGCTGTTAAAGTGCCCAGAATAAAACACGGGGGCGTGGTTTGGTTCAAGTTGATTTTCTCTGTGGCCCCATAGGAGGGTCTACAGAGCAGGGAGTGACTGAGCTAGGAAATCATTTCCCCTCCCATAATATGACGATTAGCACCGAAATCTCTTTGTGTTGAAAGAAAGTAAGTAACCCTGTTGGTTGGGTTTGAAAGAAATCAGCTGTTACCCTGTTGAACTTACCGTCAAGATGTGACTGGTTTTATGACATCTTGTCAACTTACTTTTCCCCCTTCGCTTTTTAGTATAGATAGATAGATAGATAGATAGATAGATAGATAGATCAGAGTGGATTTGACCTGTCTTCCAGTGTATTTTTTGTTTCCACAACTTTTTCTAAGCTGCTTTTTAAAATTTTACGTGATAGAGGGGTCAGAGGAGTTCTTAAAACATCATTCTGCACTGCAGAATTCTGTATCATCCTCCCGATGGTAGCAGTTCACACCGAGAGTACAGATTGTGGTTCTAAACAGCGTGAATGATCTTTCTGACCAAAGATTTACAGTGTAGCCTGGTGAAGTTGTTATCCATGCAGATATTGTGATATTTGTCAAACTGGATTTGTGTAGTTGGTTGGTTTTTAATAACAGTGCTGCTCAGACCAGCATCATAAATCCCTTGTGTTGTCCTCGGGTCAAAAATGACCCCTAGGTGAATGGCAAACAAGTATATGGGAATCCCGAAGACAACACAAGGGTCATAAGAATAATCTCGCCCTGTTTGTGTCACACCAATCGACAAACCGCCTTACATTTGAATGATACATGCTTATATTTTCATTCTTAAAGACTCAATTCAGCACAGCAGACTTGACTTATTTTCTCAGATTTATCTCCTCCACAGCCACAAGCCCTGAACAATAGATTATGATGTGTCTTAAAGAATAGGTCATATTAGACTTTGTCATACCATATCTCATACTAGAATCACATTATGAATGAGTCTTATAACCAATATGGATAGAGGAATCGCTACAGCAACCAAAACCTCTTCTTTTGTGCATATGGGCATATGAGAATTGATTTAATGCTTGTTCCTTAGACTAAAAGTCCCAAAAGTTTGTTTTTTGCAATGCCTTATACAACTTTAATGACAATAACTTTCTAGTTTGAATGAGTTGGGGATACATCAGTAGCTGAAGAGACAAAAAATAAAAGAGTGCCACATAGTGGAACTAGGAAAATTCAAAAAGTGTAGGGCATAGTGATGTAACGCCTCAAGAAGCAGTGACCTTTGAGCACACACACACAAAAAACATCTTGTGCTTGACCACTGTAGCAGATTCCATCCTTCAGCGATGATGAACCTGTCACTTCTGCATGAAGCTGCACATGTTCTGCTTCCCCTGAGCCCACGGCTTGGTGCTCACAACCACTCCTCCTCTGCTCCATTGTCTCGTCCCTGTAGCAGGCCGTTTAACTTCATTAATATGCATTAAAACGGAGTGTGCCACATCTGTGTGTGTGTGTGTGTGTGTGTGTGTGTGTGTGTGTCAGTCAAAGCCCTGTAAGGAGGGCGCCCAAAAAAAGAGCTTGATAACTGGCCCGACTGCTGGGACAATGACAGTGTTACTATTTTTGTCACACCCTCAAGTGAAATATTAAGGACAGTGAAAATTGAGACAGAAGTCATTTGCATGTCTTATATTTTCAAATTGGAGCTCAGATTAATTTTCTGACTGTGGTGGTTTTCATTGATGAAATAAAACCCGTAACGGTCTGCTGCACATTAAGACTTAGTCTGTGGATATGATTCTGCGATTTGTTTACAGGAAAACAGAAACGGCGTCGTTTTGTAAGCCACTTTGGTGCGCCTTATAAATGTGCTTGTTTATAGGTTCATGTTCAGCCGCTGGGAATATATATTGTGGAATAAGACCTGTATTTGGGTCACAAAAGGGGGTGGGGGTGAGTTTCATTCGAAATCATGCCAAAATCTTCAAGAAAATATGCGTGCATCCAAAATTTGCACAGGCCTATAAATCCTGGGAAGGCTTCTTTTAAAAGCGATTACATTCGCTGCTGCTGCAAAAGTTTCCAGTGAGTGTAAGACGGCGCAAAAGCATGAAGAAAATCATGTTAGCGAGACAGTTTCTTGTATGTGAGAATAAATTATCATCAGAATACACCACATGGTCTCTTTTCAAGGTCACCTCCAGCTCTGCATGCACAAAGGAAATCATGAGAGAGCATTTAAAAGATGAATGGCTGCCATATCACAATGGATGAATTGCGCGGGGGCCAATATGACATGTGGCTCTGCTGCTTTGGGCCTACCCTTTATTATTCTTAATGCAAAACGTGTTTGGCAGCAACAAAGGAAGTATTGATAATGAATATGAAATGCATTTATTTATTTTTACATTAGAAGATTTCATTTCAGACTCACACTACTCGAAAGCAGGGCAACAGCAGAAAGGTTTCTGGCATGAGAGGAGAATAGGCAAGTTCATTTATAAAAAGCCTTTTAAAAGACAGGTCAGCTCATAGGTGCTTTGCACAGTAAAGCAGTAAAGAAGAGAAATGTTTGATTAGTTAGTAAGTCACGGTGCAGTTAACTGCATCCATTTTCTTAGCTTAAGCTTACGGGGCTGCCAGAATCTATCCCAGCTGTCATGGGGCCAACACAGAAAGTGAGACAAGCACACACACTCACATCCAAACCTACGGCCAGTTTGAAATCACCAATTAACCACAGAGCATGTCTTTTACTGTGGGAGGAAGCAGCTTTACTAGCAGGCACAGTGAAGCCATGCAAACCCCACACAGAAAGACAAAAGAAAACAAGGTGGCTCTTATTGTGGATTTAAATGTTACATCTTTAAGAGAAGCTAACATATTTTAAATCACTGGTAGTCGTCTACTGCAGCTTTAATATAGTTGCAGCCCAGTGCTGGTCTGCTCTCTGAAAGATGGAATAAACATAGGGTACTTGATTTATGTTTTTTTGGAGTAAAAACCTTTGAACGTGAGTGTAAAGTGCAACTTTAGAGCAGAAGCAATACGATCGAAAGTTATCGTCACCTCTGATATATCCTACGTACAGTTTACTTCGTATTAACGAACATTGTGCACATGTGATTTTCTTACATTCAATATGCTCCTAAGGAAAACACAAAGGGGCGTTGCCTTTGTTACTGCTACATTTTGCGTTTAAATGGAGGTCATTGATAAGAAATATGCTGTGGTAAATTACTAGGTTTCATTCGCTGGAGACAGAGTTGATATTTGAAACAATAACTTCTAATATTTAAGCTTTTTATAAATAATAAAAAAAAAATTGTCCACAATGGCCACATAACAAGATGAACTGAAATGTGTCATTTACATTTTAAGCGATAAGAGTCACTTGAAAACAATGAGCGATAAGCTTAAACTGGTAACTGGCCAAGATAACAATAAGTAATCACTACTTCCATTGTAGCCAACCAGCAGTAACAAATGTTGCTTTGTTCACATAAAATGTGGCCATTGTTTAACTGTGTTTACTTCACAGCCCTGTCTGGCCTCCACACAGGCTCACTGCGGAGTGCGAGCCACAGCTAGTGTTTTTTTTTCTTCTTTGTTTTACACGGATAAAGCTACAATAAATGCAGGGACTCTGGCTTGCAATGGGTTAAAAAAAAATCTTCATGCATAAATACGGCTTCAGAGTGAGATGATGGTACCCAGAGGCCTCCCAGGCAGCTCTGTCTGCTCTGCAGCCGAGGCAGAGATGGGCAGCCGCTGCATCCCCATTCATCACTGTCAAGTTGAATAGAAAATTAACAAATCCGTTAATTAAAAGACCTCTCTAGACTCTAGTGTGTTTGTGTGTGTGTGTGTGTGTGGTGGTGTGTGTGTAACTCGTGCCAGCTGCACTGCTTCATTGTGCAAGCTACAGCAGCCTGGCACAAGAGACACACACAACACTCCCTTCAATGCTAACATACACATGCACACAAACACCCACCGCTCCTGCCGACCCCTGCCACTCCTGCCGCTGCATTAATTACATAAACTGCATAATGTGGCCAGCCTGAGCTTCATTTCATTCCCAATCTCTGTCTGTCCCCAGACACAGACTAGGGGAGGGAATCAGTTGGGGCTTTGATCCCTGACCTCTGCCTCCTCTCGTGGGAATATAAGCCTGCGCCCCTAACGGTCATCCATCTGCACACACCCCCAAGACCCCCAGCTCCTAGATTCAGCCCAACCCCAGACACGTGTCAATGTCACCAGCAGCAATAGGGAGCGCTAAACAAGCCAAGGTCAACCTGAAATTAGGGGGTGTCTTTCGCCCTGTCAAGTGCTTTGTCACGACCACCAACTCGCTGAATGCCGCCTGCTATTACTTACCCCAAGACTCCACCCATTCCCCTCAACAGCACGCATTCACGTATTCACACACATGTACTTAATACCCTCTCAACATGGCTGAAGTGGTATGACTGAAAGCACTGTTCATCTGCACGTACACCTTGAGATTGGTGGATATTTTTTTTTTATTTAAAGCTGATTCCATGATACACTTTTTAAAATCCATTCCTTAAAATTGAGAGCTGGACTAATTAATCAGCAGTTACATGTATTGTGTTTTAAAATTAACGATATCTCTGGCATACACCTCAAACCTACGACGGTTCCACCTTATCCCAATGGAGTTTGGCAGTTTCTTTGTTTTATATACAGATATTGCAAAATGATTCATTGATAAATTATAAAACAGTCAGCAGATCAGCAAATTGTCTTCTTCTTTTACTTTACACATCTTTAAAGAAAGGCTGGGATTATTGCTAATTCCAGGTCATTTCTGCAGATGGCCGCCTCTTTCTGAGCCTGGTTCTGCTGGAGTTTTCTTCCTATTAAAGGGGACTTTTTCCTTCCCACTGACGCCAAAGTGCTTGCTCATAGGGGGGGTCATATGATTGTTAGGTTTTTCTCTGTATGTATCATT